GGCCTGTAACAACACGCTACTGTCCCATCAGGCTGTCCCCATCGCCAAATTTACACATGCCAGGTGGGCATGACCTTCTGTAGCAGGTCCTGAGATGGGGCAGGACAGCTACTGGGAGCAGGGCAGCAAATCTGGTTTGCAGTGCCCCCTTCTGATGCCTTGCTGCTGCTCCAGAAGAGAAGGGCATGAGTGATTGACCTGAGCTGCCAATGGGGCCCGGTGCCCTGCACAGGCTGCTACAGTGGGAGGTTCTGAACATTTATTGCTCTTACATAACAGGCAGAGGCCCGGGGAGCTCTCAGCCAGCTGCACAGCTGTATGCTGCCTGCATCACTGTGGCGCCTGTCTGTGCTGAGCACAACTAGGCTGAGGGGAGAGAGGCTGGACACAGTTATTTGTCAGGAGCTTTCTCTCTGCACTGGACCTATGCAATGGGATTCAGGCTCTTGGTCAGGTTCCTTAGCACTAATAGTGACACAGGCCAGAGCTGTGTGGGCTGGAGGGTGTGCAATACTGGGCACAAGCAGTCTGCTCCCTTTCAGAGTAGGGTGCATTGGTAGCAGTCACGTGGGGGTGGGGGTGGGGGAGGCAATGACTCAGTGATGTGTAATGTGTTGGCTACTGGGAACCAATGGCACTGCTGGGCCTGGCATGTCCTTGCTATGTGGTTCCCATGGCAACGTACAAGCTGTCATGGTCCAAGGATTTCTTGAGCCTGGCTGTCCATCTCCATGCACATAGGGCTTCTCCCATGCCCCATTCAATCCCTCAGCCCCTGCTTATACTCAGCCACCTTCCTGCTGCAGCCCTCCCCACCCCAGTGCCCTGCAGGCCCTCTTTCCTCCCCTGGGCCTGGGAGGTCTCCCCTCCCTTTTGTTTCCCACTGTGGAAGAAGGCTTCAGTCACAGACACTGCTTCAGCTCTGGGGACTAATGCTTGCCCTCTGGCTGCTCCTTGGAAAGACGGGGGTGGGGGCCAGAGCAGAGCCATGAAGACAGCCAGTCCTCAGTGTCTCTGTTGTTTTATCCGCTGCCCTAGAGGCAGCAGGGCCTGGGCAGAGCAAGATGAGAGGATACAGTGCTAGAGAGATATGCAGTGTTGCAGGTGTGGAGTGATCAGAGTCCTGGTCCTCCAGACTTACTGAAGAGGACCAGAGGTCTGTATTAGGGGATCAATAATAAAGAGCAGACAGCCTGAAGGAAGGGGAGATTACAACACACAAGATGGATGCATGTGTGCCTCTCTCACTCATACCACAGCAGGTTCAAAACGCAGCTGACAGAGCCATGTAGAAAACAGTTGCAGCTCTTCCCAACCTGCAGCTGGGGAGCCAGCAGTTATCACTGCTCAGCCTTCCTGCCCTCCCCTTATTGTTCACAAGGAGGGGCTATGGCTGGAGAGGTCCCAGGGAACTCCAGTGCAGTAATTGCAGTTCAGAACAGAGGCAATCTTAGCAAAGCAATTATGTGTCCTTAGGGCACAACATGGTTCCTGCCTGGGAAGAGGCCTGCTCCTCCACCATTATGGCTATTGCCTCCGCATGTGACTGGAACCCCCAACCTGGACACACATGCCCAGAACCTGTGCACAGTTCAGTCCTTGATAAAATGCCAGTCAGACATCAGCCCTCAAATCAAACACACTACTTTTGCCAGGTGGTAAGTATTATAGCCAATGTTGGAATGGAGGGCAATTAGGATAAACACTTTTTATTGGGTCCAAAGTGTAATAGCTTTCTAATTTTAATTCTGAGTTCTTTATATGTTATCAACTTTTACCTGTGAAATGATTTCTCAAGCTAGGACACCTGCTTTTATCAACCAATTGGTAAGTTTATCATTTCACCAAATCTGCACAGGTATAATCATTAGTTCATTGCTCAAGTATAGATACAACAAGTATCTTGCCCAAGGAGAGAAGCTGTACACTTATACTACTGCTGTCCACACTGGTTCAGCA